TTGATGGAAGCTCCTGAAAGGTGTGAATGAGAGAGCAAATTTTGGCGTTATGTTAGCCGGGTGAGCACGCCGATTTTTGAGTAGAAGGAACTTCGGGTAAAATGGTATTGTTACCCACCACCTCTTTTTTCTCTACGCTTAGCCTAAGCATGCTATTTGGGGTAAGTAATGTCAAAAATCCGCGTGCCCATTCGACTCACATAGCACCCCACTTTCTGTTTTCCAACTCGTTGGTCTTTACGTCCCATTTCTGAATCACGCTGCTGAGTTATGTGTCACCCAAATGCTTCGTGATCGCCCCATTGGGTAGGCGTCCATGGATCATTGATTCTAGCCAGCCATGACTTACGCGGATGCTAGCAGTGTTGCAATCCTCTTGAAATCCTTGCTAAGTAATGCAGACAATTAGCGTTGTCTGGGAGGCTTCTGGCCTTTTTTCTACTTGGGTCAATGTTTGCTTGAGTTTTTTCTCCCTTCTGCACTTTGCAACGTCGATTGTGCGAGGCGAGGGTTCAATGCAAATATTGCAAATACGATTTCGTTGCCATGATCGGTTTATGGGCCATTGACTGTGTTCGGCGGTGCTCGACGGAACGCCACTTCTTGCCCTTTTTGATTCTGCAACGTTTTATTTGAGCAGCTATTTTGAACCTTAAAGGTTGTGTGACGTAGAATAGCGTCGTCTTGTTTGCTGTCTGCATTTTGGTCGCTCTTGATTGTCGAGGATGGAACTCCTTTTGGGATCTCTGACCATGTATTACTCCTGTTTTGGCTGGGTTTTGGTGGTTCAGCAATCGTCTTGTATATCTATAAATGATTGTGGTTCGCGAAAGTTCCAGATCATTATTCCATTGATCAGGCCCTTACCAACCTACCTACCTTGGTTAGGTAAAGGCAGTGGTTACAATAATTTGAAGTGCATAAATAGTGTTTATGCCTCAGCAAAAAGAGGCAAGGCTGCCAAGAAAAAGATGTTTTGCGTTTTTGCCCTGACTGGCGCTCTGCTGGCAACGTGGTTAGGTTATGGATCCAACCTAGCCCCGAATCCAAATTAGCCCTTCTTCTGGGTAATGTCGTAAATACTAATGATTTCGTTCAATATACAGCGCATTTCATGGTAAACAACATGTTCATGTGGTGTGAACGGCAATTGTTGGTTGTGGCCTGTCGTGTTTGTTTCTTTATATTCAAGATACTAAAGTAAAAAACTTTATGTTTGAGCCGTAAACTCGGTCAAATCGACAATCATCATGAGGGTTCCATTTCTCTTAATTCGAACGGTATATTCTAGATATTCCTTCACTACCGTACCATTTGGCACCTACTCTTTCATATGTCGCCAAACTCCACAATCGTTCAGCAGTTACTTGAGAGGCTTAAGTTTACACCTATTTAAAACTCACTTTTGGAATTTGCCCCCTCTGAAAATGTTCTACGGAGGAGGAAATCTATGCTTCTGGAGAAATAGTACTTTTTATACTGGCCCATGTCGCTTTTACTTACACTTATGGGAAGCCTTTAGCCAGAGGTCCTCTAACAGGAGGCTTTCAAAGTTGCTGCTTTGTAAAATGTTGTGAAATGATGACATTTTCAGTGAAGATATGGTCGGTCCCGATCTTGGCAGTGATGATTCGCCGCGATCGTCGGTGAATTCGCATGAATGGGCTGCTCTGCTGGAGGATGACGCCGCAAATCAACGTGAGTGGGTTATATATCCTCACTTTTCCACCCGCTTTCTGTTAGGAATACAGGATAGCCCGGAAGAGACAAAAAAGAGCAGATTTGCAACCTACCCACAGCAAATCATTTTGACCAGTTCAACACGAGCTCCCCTACTAGTTTTCGTCTTAAAGCTCTATCACATTCTTTGTTGTACCAGTAGTTAGAAGCACATCTCAAATTACCAAATGATCTTTTCAGAACTTCTGCGTCACGCCCAGGATTGCTATGAAAAACTGCAAGTGTACGTGGACAAGGCTGTACAGGCTCGAATGATGGTAAGCGTTTGTTTGCCGTAATACTTTTCGTCTAAAAGATTCACATTGGGTCAACAAAGTCGTAAGGGGTCTCACTTTTTTGAACTTGATCGCAGGCCGTGGAAAGGACCTGAAATGGACATAAAATTTATCAAAAGGCTATGCATTTACGCATCTGCACGAAGTAGTAATGGAGTGTTCATAGTTGGCGATCGTACGTGCGATTAGGCGATTAGGCGATTAGGCGATTAGTCTATAATGAAAAATATACGTATAGATTAGGCGATTAGGCGAGTAGGCGATTAGGCGGGAAGACAACATACGTATTGATTGGTTTGCTCCGCCCATAGAACGTTGTAGGCGAGTAGGCGAGTAGGCGAGTAGGCGATTAGGCGATAGGCGATCGCTCAATGGGCGGAGCAACAAATCAATACGTATCCTTCTTTATCGCCTACTCGCCTACTCGCCTAATCGACTACTCGCCTACTCGCCTACTCGCCTAATCGCCTAATCGATACGTATACTTTTCTTTTTGAATCATCGCCTAATCGCCTAATCGCCTAATCGCACGTACGATCGCCAACTATGAACGCTCCATAAGAAGTGAAAACGTTTACAAAATGAGATGTGCTGGAATTTAGCTGTAAGTGATGGGTTACTAGGTAACAGGCGCTCCTATAACGAGTCAGTTCTTCTGCCACTGATGAAGTTTGGCTGTGATAGGCTGCATGGGGTTGTAGGACCCTGGCCACAAATTCAGTCAAATTTACTACTGATTTCGGTGCTTTTTTGAAGTTCTGCTTCTCGAGGTAATTTTTTACTATTTTGTAATTTCGCTAGATTTTAACCTTAAAATTCTAGGTGGACGAATCTTCGATGTCTGCGGAGCACAAGCGCATTGCGATGGCACAGATGGAGAAAATGACCCAGAAGATTGTGGAAAAGTTAATACCGGGAGCAAGGTCAGTACCGAATTTGAAGAGGAATATGGGTTCTCGGCAGCGGAGCTGAGCCACATAGCTGTGAGTTCGCGGAGGAGTTCAAAATTTGAAAATAAGGTCACTCGAAATCAGAATGGGGTCTGGGATGACTACTCTTGGCAAATCTCCAAGATGCTTAATCAGCGTTTTTGCTTCAAAATACATCAGTCTGGTCTTAAAATTCGTACTGTCCCCTACTTTCGCAAAGTCTCATACTTTTTTGACGGTTTTGTATACTTCCCCGCCCAGCAAAATCCCCACATTCTGGAATGATCAATGCGGGTTCTTTCAGACCACTTGATTTCTGGTCATCCTGAACTCTATTCTGCAAAGGTTTCGGATTTTCTGGATTAACTCACTGTGATTTTTACGAGACCCTCCCCCTCCAACCTCCCCCCATCGATTCTACTTTTGATTCATCGATTTCCTGCATCAATCACGTGCGTCCCTCTCATTGACATGGATGCGAGACAAGAGTCCCCCTGAGGTCG